GTGAGTGAGCAGTCCTGGTGTGTGAGGGGTCACCTTGGAAGTGGATCATCTGGCTCAGTGGAGCTGCTCTAGCTGATGCCGTGTGCCGCAGAGCAGAGCTGTCCTTGTCCAGTCCTGCCCAAACTGTGAGCAAAATAAATACTTAGCATGTAAGCCCTACATTTTGGGGTGGTTTGTTACACAGCGATGGATAACCAGGACCCTTGGGGTGTCAGTTGAAACCTCTGCTCTTCTTCAGCTTACCGGCGTCAGTGGGTGGGGATACAAAGTGTGCAGTGAACAACTGTGGATGCTAGTAAGTCCACTTAGTGGGCTTCAGGTGTTTATGCACATCTAAAGAACACAAATAACGTGAAAAGGTTTGTGACAACAGGGGTATTTCCATTCAGAGTAACTCTCAGTCGTTCAGAAAATTCAAGCACCCAGACGATGGCTTGTCCTTGCCTGTCAGTCACAGCTTTGCAGTAAGCTCACCTGCGTCGCTCTATTGTTTCAGCTCTTGCTTGCTGTGGAGCCGGGATAGGCCTTACACTGCCACTTGATTTTTCCAATATCCTTCTCTTAAAAGTGCCAGAGGGCATAGGATCTTCAATAACAGAGAGTGAAAATGAATTTCGCAGTCTCCTGTATCCTCTCTGCTTCCAAACCCAAAAGGCAGTGAGGATGACTGAACATCAGAAAGCACCACCTCCTTTTACTCTCGTTGTTTCACATTCTTCACATCCCCGTGTCGAGCCCTCCTTCACCCAATTCATTACCAGAAATTTAGCAAAACCTAACATATAATTACATTGATTTGGAAGAGGAGAAACAAGAGCCAGAAAAAATTCGCAACATCAATGAGCTGACTCTGGGTAACTGATTGTAACTTGTATTAGGCTGGGCTCTCCAGAGGAACAGAGCCATGGATGTGTGTGGATAGACAGACAGATAGATAATAGATAGATAGATGATAGATACTAGATAGATAGCTATAGATAGATGGATAGATAGGGAGAGAGAGAGAGAGAGAGAGAGAGAGAGAGAGCGCGTGCCCGAGAGAGCAAGAGGGAGAGGCTGGGATTTAAAGGAATGGGCTCACATGATTGTGGAGCCGGGCAAGCGTAGTCTGCAGAACAGGCTGGAGACCCAGGGAAGAGTAGATGTTGCAGCTTGAGTCCCGAGGCAGTCTGGAGGCAGAATTCCCTCTTCCGTGGGGAACCTCAGTCTTTTCTCTTGAGGCCTTCAACTGATTAGATGAGGCCCACCCACATTATGGAGAATGTTTTATTCAAAATCTACTGATTTAAATGTTAATCTTATCTAAAAAATAAAAAAGAACTTCATGGTCACACCTAGTTTGATGTTCGGCCAAGTACTGGCTACCGTGGCCTAGCTGAGTTGATACATAGAATTAACCATCACCCAATTGGTCCTTGAGATTTTTGGCCCCCTATTTCCTGCAGAACTGGAGCTCACCTCATGCTTCAGGCAGCCTCAGGAAGGGCAGTTCACTCAGGAGACACCCCCTCAAATTTCACCGGGTGCCTTTTGGTCCTGCGCCTTCCTCGTGGACATGCGTGTTCAGTTCACGGAGCAGACACATCACGGCCTGCTGTCATCAGTGCAGCCTCACGTCAAGGGCTCTGGTTATGAGGGGTTTCTGTGCCCTACTTCTAAGAGGAAATCCTTTTGTTTAGGGACAAACAGAACTTCCTGAGCTTTGATCTTTGGGAGTAAGCCTTTTGCTTGACTTCCCCTTTCTTTCTCTACCCCTTTGTTTCCATCTCGAAGTGCAAATTGGAAGTGCCCTGTTTGCTTTTAGCCCCGGATGGACGAATACAGGTGACCGTGTGGCTTAGCTTTGATCGGAGCGCTCAGCGCAGTTCTCAGGAGTTTGCATGGTCTGTGGCTCCTGGACAGGGTTCCTAGAAAAAGGAAATGCACTTCGGGAGGAAACGGCTGGGCGAGTTGAGAAACTTGATCAGGGACGGGCGTGTATTGTCCTCTGCCTGCTTCCTGTCCTTCCCCCGGCTTTGTTTATCTGCTGCTCCTCTGCTCCTCAGGGGTGTGTGCGTGAAGTTAATGATTGTCTCCCTTGACACTAAGTGCTTACTTTGAGGCATAGCTCCACCAGCACCTGCTCCAGCCCCGTGCTAAAACCGCGTTTGAACGCCTACACGCTGGGCTGGCTCTCCATCGGTGGGCATTTCTCCTCATTCTTTGATTGCCAGCGATAGCGCTGAGAACAAAGATGCTTTTAGCTTCACGGAGGAGGTTGTGCTGTTCCTTTTCATGGTTCCCATTCACCCTCGTCGGAAAGTCAGCTCTTGCCAACGTGAAAGTTTATCTTCTTATCCTCCTGAGCTGACATCCTCCCTCGGTTCTCAAAGCCATTTCCCTCTCATCTGATCACAGATGCCGTGCTGGAAATGCAGAATCCTGCAGAGACAGTGGTCAGGGCCAACCCTGCAGATGAATTCTACTCACTCTGGCCGTAGGTCTGGGAAGAGGTGGGAGAAGTGGGTGATGACATAAAGGGAAAGCTACTAATGGAGCTAAAGAAAGTTCTGAAGTTTCCCTTTCTCCCAATATTCTAGACCGTTAAGACTTGCATTTATATTTTTCCTTCTAAGACAGTGTTTATCAACTTTTAAAATTGTTTCCCTAAGGGGGAAAAGTTCAATTCAATTTGAATTCTCCCTAAGGAGAGAAATGAAATACTAAGGATTAAGATTTTGTGGGGTAGGTTTGAGCCTTGGAGGGACAAAATCATGGTGATAGTTAGGATTTTTTTTTTTCACACACCCTCCCCCCAACCAATTCTCTGCTGAGGACACTTGCTGTAAAGACTCTATGTTTTGGAATAAGGGCGCCCCCTCATGGATCAGGCGCTTTATGCATTGCCCCTTTTAGCTCTCCTAATATCCTTCCCTGGTAGGTGCTCTTACCATCAACTTACAGACAGAAAACCCAGGCACAGAGAAGTTGAGTGACTTGCTTGGGTCACACAGCTTTTGGCCAAAGGAGCCAGGATTCAAGATTGGAAGTTGGACTCTGGAGTCCTCTTACTATCTAGGCTATCTGGGAACTGTGTGGGAGCAAGTAAGTGCCTGGACTCTTTTTTTCATTTTAAAATTGAGATGTAATTCACATACCATAAACATAATCCTTTTAAAGTATACAATTACAAATTCAGTAGTTGTGCAGTCATCACCACTATCTAATTCCAGAACATTTTCCTCTACTACCTTTCAGCAGCCACGGTCCACTCCCTCTGTCCCCGCCCCCTGGTGACCACTAATCTACTTTCTAACTTTATAGGTTTGTCTATTTTGGATAGTTCATCAAAATAGAATCATATAATGTGTGACCTTTAGTTATTGGCTTCCTTCATTGAGCATAATGTATTTAAGATTCAACTACGTTGTAACATATTATCAGTACTTCATTCCTTTTCATGGCTGAATCCCTAGGAGTGGAATTGCTGGGTCATTTGGTAACTCTGTTTAACTTTTTGAGGAACTGTGCAACTCTTTTCCAAAGGGGCCGTACCATACCATTTTCCATTCCTACCAGCAATGTATTAGGGTTTGGATTTCTCAGCATCCTCGGCAGCACTTGTCATTGTCCCTCTCCTAGTAGAGATGAAGTATCTCATCTCATTGTGGCTTTCATTTGTTTCCCTGATGGCAAATGATGTTGAGCATCTTTTCAAGTGCTTGTTGTCACCTGTGTATATATTTTTTTTTTTGGAGAAATGTCTGTTTGGATTTTTTTTTTTGGAAAAATGTTTGCCCATTTCTAAATTGGGTATTTGTCTTTTTACTGTTGAGGTGTAGGAGTTCTTTATTGTGGATACAATTCTCTTTCAGATACATGATTTGTAAAATATTTTCTTCTACTCTGTGGATTCCTCTTCACTTTCTTGAAAGTGGTTTTTGAAGCACAAAAAATTTTGATGAAGTCCAATTTATCTATTTTTTTCTTTTGTTGCTTGTACTTTTGGAGTCCTACCTGAGAAATGGAATTCAAAATTATATATCTCTAATTATGAAATTTGGGGCAGTATATCCCTGAGAAGATTAATCATGGGAAGTAGGGAAATTATTCATGGTATTTTAAAGAGGGACCACTATATTAGTTCGCTATTGCCAGATTTGTACTAGCTAATATCATTGTTCTTATGTTACCACTGAGGAAGCTGAGACGTGAGAGGTTCTGAGACTTGCCTGAGGACACCCAGCAGTGATTGGCTGAGTTTGACCCAGACACAGGTCCTTGGACTCCAGACCTAGGCTCTGAACCCCAGGGGACTCCCCTTCTCCTTGTCCCAGTTTCAAATTCTTCTTGTAGAAAAACTGTCAGGCTTAAAGGGCTGAGTTTTGTGTGCTCCTGGTTTCCTTGTCCCCCTTGTGGTGGAAATGTGAACCGGGATAGTTAGGAGCTCTCTGGAGTGCCCTTGACAGTTTTTGTCCTGTTTCAGCAACCCATGGGAAAGCGTATTTACAACTTCTGATTCCTGGGCTGCAAGTCCAGAGAGACTGAAGCACAGAGTCGTGCTCAGGGACTGAAGCTTTCACGTGCTCCCGGGGAGCTGTGTGGCAGTTAGTTGGTCTTGGGCTCCACTTAGAGAAAAGCTGGTCTTCATTAGGAATCATTGGATATTGTGGACTTGTTGACTCCTATTTATGTTACTAAACGGCAAGGTGTATTTTCCAGGGTCTGAAGAATGGCCCTTTCCTCTACTGAGTTCCTTGAAAAATCAGTTGAGACTTCAGTTACTTGTAAATGAGAGGGTTATATTGAGTGCTTTGTAAGCCCTGTTGTCAGGTAGAAATGAGACTGGTCAAGCCTTAACATGTTAATCAAACGTTAATAAAAGCAGGGCCCAGTAATTCATTAGGTTTGACTGTAATGCAGGGGTGGGAGCCAAAGGGAAAAATAAAGTATCTGGCTATTTTAGAGACGAGAAACCTCAACCTCTTTTTTTCTTCCCCGTCCCTCACACTTTTTCTCAGATTGTGAAGTGGTCAGACTGTTGTTTGCCGTTGGCTTGCAGACCTGGGGAGCCGTATCAATTAATCGCCAAAGCAAGTGTAGACAACTTCAGCAAGTTGGGGGTGGCGTTCATGGAAAACCGACTCGAGATGGCTAATGGACTCGTACCCCAAAAGATTGTTTGTAAGTAACTTCAGAAAATGTTTCCATCACAGCAGTACGTCATAGGTTATTAGCTTAAGGACTGTTGACTACACTGTTGACAATTTGGTATGACTTAAGGGCAATGCTTATTTTCAGTTTAATTCAGTCAGCAGGTTGGATTTAACCATAATATTGGGTTGTCGGAAAAGTCATGACGTATTTTTTTTTCTCTGTTTTTCGTTGCGAAAATGTGTCATGACTTTTCCGACAAACCCAATAGTATAAAATTCATACTTGTGAATTTTTTTGAGATGCTTATCCCTGAGTATATCATTAGTGCTTTTAAAATTCTTAAACAAGGATTTCAATATTGCATTGTCCATGAGATAGCATGCAAATTCAGAAGCCATATAATATTTATTTCTCCCAATCTAATATAGTATAACTAGTTTCTAGACTATGGTTTGATAGAATGGAAGGCATAGCCAGTGTTACTATGAAGTTCTAAATCTAATAGTTTTTTTATTTGAAATGTACATACTGCAGTATTTTGGGACACATTGTTTTTTTAGGAAGACATGCAAAATGTTCTTCCTTAATTAGGCTTAAAAGCAGGCTTTCTTTCGGCCATGGAAGGGAATGGGTTCTTGCCACCTGCGACGGCATGGAAGGACCTGGAGGGTGTTGTGCTGAGTGGAGTATGTCAGAGAAAGACAGATACAATGTGATTTTGCTTATATGTGGAATCTAAAAAAACAAAATTAATGGGCTGCCTGAGTGGCTCAGTTGGTTAAGAGCTCGCTCAAGAGTGCGAGCTCTGAGCAACAGCGGTTTGATGCCCGGCCTGAGCTGAGCTGCCGCTGAGCTGCCCAACAGGTGGCAGGATGGCTCAGCTAAAAAAAAACCAAAAAACAAAATTAACAAACAAAACAGAAACTCATAGATAGAGGACATTTTGATGGTTGCCAGATGCCAGGGGGGTTGGGGGTGTGGGTGAAAAAAGGGGAAGGGATTAAGAAGTACAAATTGGTTGTTACAGAGTAGTCATGAGGATATAAAGTAAAGCGTAGGAAATATAATCAATAATATTGTGATAACTATGTATGGTGTCAGATGGGTACTAGATTTATAAGGGTGATAGATGGGAGAGGGTCGGGGGGAAGGGTGAAAAAGGTGAAGGGCTTAAGAAGTACAGATTGGCAGTTACAAAATAGTCAGGGGGATGTAAAGTACAGCATAGGGAATATAATCAATAATATGGTAATAACTATGTATAGTGCCACATGGGTATTAGTCGGGGAGGGGGGATCACTTCTTAAATTATATAAATGTCTGATAATCACTATGCTGTACACCTGAAATTAATATAAAATAATATTGAATGTCAACTGTAATTAAAAATTTTAAAAAGGGGAGAAAAGGTGAAGGGGAATAAGAGGTCCCAATTTCCAGGTTTAAGACAAATAACTCATGGGGATGTAAGGTACAGCATGGGGCATATAGTCAATAATATTGTGAGAGCATGGGACAATGTCAGATGGTTGCTGGACTTATGGTGATCACTTCTTTAGGTATATAAATATTGAACAACCATGGTGTACACCTGAAGCTAATATAATATTGTATGTTAGCTATGTTTTTAATACAAATCTTAAAAAAATAAAAAAGCAGGTTTTCTGTGTCCATGAAAGCCTTCGTTTGCATCTCTAGCAAAGGAGTGTCAGCTCTGGAAATTTGTGCAAATCACTTAATTTCCCCATTTGCCGTGTGCATGGACCTAATACCATATAAGCTGTGTTACAGGTGCTCAATAAATGTGTTTTGAATCAATGACTGTAAACTTCTATTCCGGTCCTGAGATAAGATCCCAGACAGACCCTTCTCCTGGGTTGATCCTGTGAAATGTCCCCGTAGTGACTTTTTCTTGGTGTGTACTTGGATAGGCTTTAGATGCGTGCCTTTTTTGTTTCTTAGTTTCATTATCCTATAGGAGAGTGACACGTAGGAAATTGAATGTATAAGTAAGTAGGCGAAATGACGTCACGTCCCTGAATCTCACTCTCCTCACCAGTCCATAAGAGGATCTGAGGTTTTTCTGTGTCATAAGGGAACAACGTTGTGGAGACTGGGGATTTCCCTCGGGATCGTCTGGGGCCCCCTCCTAGTAGGAGGGAGCGGTAATGTGGTCCCGAAGAATGCTGCAGAGCTGAGGTGGGGTGTGCGGGGGAGCCATGCTGGGAACGGGAGTCTGGGAGGTGAGCGCGGGCCGTGGGGTTTGACCTGAGCCATGTGACAAACTGGAAGAGCTGACTGTCTTTCCTGCCCACGCTTTAGCTGTGCACCTGCAGGACTCCGCTCTGAAGGAGCTTAAGGACCAGGCGGCAAACGAGCCAGCCCGCACCCAGCCGCCCAGCCCCGAAGCTTCTGTCGAGGGCAAGCCTGAGCCAGACATTATGGAGTATGTGGGCAAAGATGACCCGAAGGTCCCTGGTGCAGAACCGATGCAGGGAAAAAGCGGGGCCTCTGGGAGTGAGCCTGCCGGCGAGTGTGGCGACCTCTGCCACCTCCATCTGTCCAGTTGCCATGAGTGCTTGGAGCTTGAGAAGATCACCATTGAATCTGTCAAGTTTGCATCTGAAGAGAACATTCCAGATCTTCCCTACGATCCCAGCGGCAGTTCGGAGGGTGTTGCCGACGCCACCTGCCCGGAGAGAGAAGGGAGGAGAATCAACATCATGGGAAAGGCACCCAACATCCTCGTCTATGTGGGCTGTGACTCCCAGGAAACCCAGGACAGGTTCCAGCAGGTCCAGTCTGTCCTGGCTGACTGTGTGGACACCGACAGCTACACGCTCTACCCGCTGCTGGAGGATAGTGCTCTCAGAGACCCGTGGTCCGACAACTGTGTGTTGTTGGTCGTTGCCACCAGGGAGTCCGTTCCCGAAGACCTGCATCAAAAGTTCATGGCCTATCTTTCTCAGGGAGGGAAGGTGCTGGCCCTGTGTTCACCCTTCACGTTGGCTGGCTTCCAGGTGACAAGCAAGGATCCCCTGCAGGAGACAGTCCAGAACTTGGTGTTCTCCAAGGCTGACCAGAGCCAGGTGCAGCTCAGTGTCCTGAGCAGTGGCTGCGTTTATGAGGGCCCCAGTGAGCGGCTCAGCCTGGGCAAGCTCTGGGGCCACCTGGAGAATGAGGACAAGGACAAGTTGATTGTGCAAGTGCCTTTTGGAATATGTGGAGGAGAAGCTGTCCTTTGTCAGGTATGTAGGCGGGTGCTCAGGTAATGGTCTTTGGGTGTCTCTGATGGGGAACACGCCCTTTACGACGGCACATAGAAAGGTTCGAGGGTCTGCACTGCGGGGCACTTTTCACCTTTGGCTGGGAGTTATTTCTGATGGTCAACGGATGGTTTAGATTGGGGCTTTCCTGTCGCATGAATACCCCATCTAACCAAAATACTCGTGAAGGAGGAACGTGGCAGAGGTGTTTTGACTAATGTAGGATTGCTGGTTAACCAAGGATTAGTCAGAAAATTCTTCCTTGTTTTGATCTGTACTGGTAATAATCTTCCTAAAATACATTAGTCCACTCTCTTGCTTCAAAGCCCACTCTGGTTAATATGATTGAACCTTTATTGAATGCCTTGGTGTGGTGATTCCAAAGATTAGTAACCATCACATTAAAAGTGTTTTCACTGATGTCCAGGATTTCCACGAATGCTCCCCAAGCGGGGGGCAGTGAATGTTGAAAACATCTTCACAGTCTCTTTCCCTTTCTTATGATTTGTCACTCTTAAAATCTAAGTGCTGAGAAAAATTTCAAATAAGAGAATATTGAAGTGATTTAGATTCTGGGCGTATTAATATGTAGGTAAGAAAAAAAATGGAAAGAGAGACGAAAGGAGAAGCCTACTTCTTTCCCATTCTTGGGTGGACCTTTCGCCCCACTCTTGGAATTTTTTTCCTCCCCTTTCCTTTTAGCTTTTGTTTGTTTAAGCAAATGGCAGCAGGAGACACTAGTTTGGAACTCCTGATCATTTACTGCAAATCCTTTAATGGCTAGGGCAAAAGTTGTTGTTAGAGGGAGATAGGCGCTCATCCCTAAGGATTTGATGATCTAATGAGACACCTAAGGACGTGTAGATATTTTGTCTACAATAGGTCACAGGATGAGTAGAACAGATTTTGTTTTACTTTAGGAATCTTTTCATTCAGTTAGAGAACTGTTGCTTTGTTGTTGTTGTTTGTTTTCATATCGTGTGCTGTGTTTCTCTCTAGCCATCCCCAAGCCTCTTAGGTTTTCCCAGCAAACATTCTTTAAGGGTTTAGGTTTGTTTCTTTACCATTTTCCCACTCGTTTGTTCTTAAGATACTACTCAGCTAAAGAATGCATATAATTAATAAATCTGGACATTAGGACAGATGGACATGGACAAACTAGTCAGGTTTTCTCTATAGAAACCTGCAAACCACATGAATTCTTCTTTGGAGGCCCAATAAATGTTCCTCTTATCTTTTTCTCTGCAAATACAGTCACTATAGTAACTGCATTCTCAGAAAAGCCACTTAAAAACCCGACTTCCTAGGGCCGTATTTCAGTTTTGAATAGCAGATTTCAGCCCCCTGGTGCACAGACTTGTGTGAGAAAATTGATTTGGCGCTGCTGCGACCCGTTTCTCTGAGTTCCGCAGCAAATCTGCTTGCTGCTCCATTGAAGTTGACCCCATCACTGTCATAAAATTTGATACTGCGCGCTTTGCTCTAGAAAGAAAAGGGAATATGATGCAGTTCCAGAAATCAGATTCAGAGGATTAGAAAGTAATTTCTGATTCTAAATGGCTTCCAGTCTCTGTGACAGGGTTGCTGTTTTCTCCTCAGGCCTGTGTCACCACGATACCTCGCCGCCGAGATCAACCAATAAATACTGTCACAGGCTGGTTAGTTTCCTCTTGCCCTGTTCAATTTCATAGCCTTCATCTCTGAAATAAATCGAGTCATGATGTAACCCAGTAAGAGGTGGTGCAGTAGTTCAAGGGCAAACCACAGCTGCGCAGTAGGTGGTGGTCTGCCTGCCGGCCAAGGAGCCGTGCAGCGATCTCTTGCCATCCGTCATCATGAAGAAAAAGGAAATGTTATAATACTCGCTGTGCTGATCATGTTTGCAGGGAAAATTTAAGGCTGTGGATTAATGCTGACACTGAATGATCAAATGGGCCAGGAGTTCGACATGAAGTTGTCCAAATAAAATCTCTTAACTGGATTAAATTTTTTTTTCTTGTTTTCAAACATCAGATATTAATTTTATTTATTTAATTAAAAAATTGGTTTTTCAACTACAGTTGACACCCAGTGTTAACATTAGTTTCAGGCATACACCATAGTGATTAGACGTTTATATCACTTATGAAGTGATTACCCCGGTAGGTCTAGTACGCTTCTGGCACCATGCAAAAATATATGTTTTCTTATTTAACTTAGCACATGGAGGAAGTGGTTCTGCTTTTCTAGCTGAACTGCTGTTCTCTCTACCACTGCACTTGCCGCCATTTTGGGTCGGATCCTTCTCTGCCATGGGGTCGTCCTGTGCATTGTATGGTATTAGCAGCACTACCTACTAGATGCCAGTAGCACCCCCCCCACACACACTGCCCTTTTTGTGACTGGGGACATGTTGAGTTCTGGCTTTTGGTTTGGTCAGAAAACCTTCATTTTAGAAGAAGCCACGTTGTAGAAATGGGCCCATCACTAAGGTAACAGGATTACAGCCAGAGGATGAGACATTGGTCAGATCCCACAGAGGACCAGGAGTGCGCATCCCACGCGAGCGCTTTGCCATTTGGTCCTGTGAGTGCAGGCGCTGAGCCCGAGGTGGCCTCTCTTCTCGCTTCTCTTGTGCTGACAAGTGTGTTCCTTACACAGTGTCAGTGGCTGTCTTTTCCCTTCCCTCCTGGAACACTGGAACCTGCTAGTAGGGCAGTCCTCTTTTCCTCCTCGGAATGTCTCACACGTGACAGCGAGTTCAGTACCCCCCACTGTGTGTGCTGCTTGGCTCTGTTCACTCAGCCCAGGAGGACGTGTGCCATTGATCACGCTCGCCCCCTCTCCCGGGGGCCCAGGTGGGGACAGAGCCTCGCTCATTTTACTTCTGCCACCTGTAAGGGGCAATCTCCAGGATAGTTACACGTGACCCGCTGCTGTGCTGACCGCCCACACCAGCCCTCGCTGTGTCCACTCGGGAGGAGACGGCACGTTTAGGGTAAGATCGTGCGGTAGGAGAGAGACTCAGTAGGATTCACATCCCTTTAAAGATTCTGTTCTTCTGCCTGCTCTTCTCTCCAGGGCTGTTTAGAGGAGACCCACCTGCTGCCGGGGGCCGAGCGGCTCAGTGGTGGGTGAGGCAGGGACCCGTGGTAGTGTGTGGCGTGTGGGACACTGCTCTACCCACCTTGTCAGGGTGGCCTCCGCTTTCAGCAGTTGGACCAGTTGAACAGTACATGTGGACAGTATTTTTGGCTTGGTTAAGGCTTGGATGGGAATTGGGAGATTTTAAGTTGCCTGAAGGCTCGCACCATGCTTTTTATTTTCACAACGCTCCTGCAGCATCAGGTCGGGAGCTCTGCGTACCCCAGAACCCCTTAGCTGACCCCTGGCCAGAGCAAAACAATTCAGCAAACGTGCTCAGGTTGCTCTCCTGGGTGCTACCGAGCTGGCATCCTCCAGGCTCCAATGCCCAGTTAAAATCTCATCTCAAGAGAGCTGCACCTTCTGGAACGTTCCTCCGTACCAAAACACAGACCTTTCTTGGGTAGGTGGGGCTCTTTTAATTTTCACTGGACAGTAAAGCCTGAACTAAATGCATGAAGTTCCTAATCTTAAAATCGAGTCAGGTGAAGGAGGGAGGTGGGGCAGCCTTTCTGGGGTCCCTCCAAACCTACTCATCTATTTGAGTTCCTGCAAACCCGTAAAACAGGGCATAAGGCTGCTCTGCTCCCTGGTGATGCTTTGCAGTAGTTACTACTGATTGGCCGAGTGCAGTTTCAGGCCTGACCCATGTGCCTTCCTGAGTTTAGTAGAGACTTTAGTTGGGATCTCAGCACAACCGTATTTCTAAGTGTTTTGGTTGCATCCCTAAGTTAAGGGACTTGCCCGAGGTCCCAAGACTGATTGGTGATACATTTGGGACCTGGAAAGAGTTTGATTCCTATCCGGGGTCGTTTCCACAGCGGCCTTCCAGCCTGACAGCCACTTGAAGAGGCCCTTTTGAATCTTTTTATTGCTTGTCATTACTTTCCAAATATTCAGGCTCAGAGTTTATATCCTGTTGATAAGGAGGAGGATTCATGTCCAAGTTTTCAGAAGCCCCGGTAAAGACAGTGTCTCTCTGCGCCCGGCTTACTAAGTGGTGTCTCTCCCTCAGGCGTACTTGGATCTACCTCCCAGCTCTTCGATAGTGCAAACGCAAGAGGATTTTAATCTGCTGAAGTCCAGCAATATTACAAGATATGAAGTCCTTAAGGAGCTCCTGACCGCCCTCGGCCTAAGCTGTGACACTAAACAAGCTCCTGCCTTAACGCCTCTTCACTTGCTGTGGGCCACGGAGGTGAGTGTGCGCTCAGCCGGGAGGGAGCCTCGGGTGCCCGTCAGGTGCCCTTCCTCAGAGCGGTCCCCCTTTTCCTCAGTCGGCCTTTGCCGTGGGTTTCGACTTTGATTTCTGTTTTGATTTTCTATTTCTCGTTTGATTTCAGGACAATCTTAAAGATGTCCAAGTATAACTAATATTTTTGGTGTTTATATGGAAGGGAGGGGAGTGAAGGCTACTGATGTTTAGAAGGTGTCGAATCCTAAGGTTCTGGCCCTTCCCACTTTTGGGGGAATAGGGTCACAGTGTTATGTGTTAGGAGTGTATTTGCGTTTGGGCCTTTCTCTGCAAATCTTTGGAAGGGAAAATCACGTTTCGTTTCATTTGTACTCACGTCTGCCATCTTGTGGCCAAGGGGGCTCTGGATTTCAGTTTATACTTCGTAGTTGTAATGGGAAAATGCCCATGGAGGTGGGGTGTATGCAGGAATTTTCCTGGCCTTGTGTCTGCATTTGATGCCTGGGGTTGGTATCTGGTTTGGGCAGGTTGCCAGAGTCTCCAGGTATGTCTTCTTGCTAATCCCTTTGCTTTGCCAAGCCATCAATGTCTTATTAATTGTGGCAAATTATTTTGTGGGTCTATTTCTGTTGTCTCCTCTAAATAGGGAAATTGGCGAGTTGAGTGACATAATTGTGCAGATTCAGCAAGTGCCTAATAGTCCAGGTGACTCTAAACACCAAACTTACCTGCTTTCCCTTGAAAAGAACACAGTATACCTCCTACCCCATTTTAAAAGATGAGGAACTGTCCTTTGGGTTATATTTCATCTCTTGGCAAACAGTGTGTAGAGCAGAGCTGCATGGACTCTGCTCCCGTGGAGGAGACAGATACAAAATCTGGAGTATTTAGGGTTAGGATACTTTATAGGATTATGGGAGGACTAGATGAACTATGTGAAACTTCTGTGTAAATTGTATTATTTAAAAGATAGTACAACTGTTAATATTAACATTAGATTGTTGGGAGGTTGAGTAAGTTATAAGTGGCTACAATTCCAACAAGTGCCTGGTGCTATGAGTGATGTTTTTAATTTTAAAAATTAATAATAAAGCAATGGATGCTTTTTTGTTGTTGTTGTTCATTTAAGAAACATTCTTTTATTGCATTGTCATTACACAGTGTTTAGCCAGCCAGCACTCTCTTTAATGCATATGGTTTGACTTTTGTTTGCACCTTCATCTCAGGAAATCAAAGCTTCACGTCATTTATCTGTTTATGTGTTCAGTTAATACAAAGAAAAGCATCACCTCTATCTGGTGACTTACAAAAAAGTATCCAAATAAAGCTGGTCCTCAGAGCTTCAACCCTTATTGGTAAGCCACCAACAGACCTCCCATGAGGAGGGATGGAGCCGAGCCATGTGCATAGGCGTTGCTGGACCCCAGGGGAGATGGGTGTGACTATCACTCTCACAGATTTCCTGTCTCCCTCTGTCCCCAAGCCGGGAGGCCGAGGCTGGACAGGTGCGGAGGTGCCTGTCTGCTCCAAGGTCAGAGAACGATGGACCCAGGCTTGCCCTTGACCGAACGATCTGACCTTTCCTGAGTTCTTCTGACCACGCTGGTCTTGGGACCTGCACCTTCTGACTCTTGGACATAACAGTGGAGGAGAAAGGGTGACCCCAGGTTCTCCTGTGAGCAGAGGTTTGGAACTCTAGGCTTTTCCTGTCTTCTTTAGGATGGGTGGCCCGAAATACCTAAAACTTTGTATCTTGTGTCTGCTTATATTAAAATACACAGTAGAAGCTTCATAGTTTTGTTCTTTGTTTTTTTAAAACTTCCTGGGGGGATGTGGGGGATTCATTTCCCCCTATTGATTGGTAACCCCTATTCACAAACCATGAGAATGAAAGCTGGAACAAGAATAAAGCAGTTATTGGGTCGTCGGGAAAGTCAGGACGTGTTTTTGCATTGAAAAACATAGAAAAATATGTCATGACTTTCCCGACGACCCAATATTTGTTCTGTATACACATATACAAATATTCTATACAGACGCCAAGCCTACCAAAGCCCTCATTCCATAGTAACTTTGGAAAAGAGTAATTTTCAGCAGTGTGCATTTCGCTTTCCGGGTCCTCTGTGTGGTCTGGCTGGCCCTGGATAGCTCTATTGTGGGCTGCTTTTTCCTCCAAGTGCTTCTGTCTGAATTCTGTTTCACTTTGGGAGCCCACGGAGCTTAGAGAGTGTATGATTATTGTGCATATCCTCATTTCTGAGTGTTAGTGACTCCTCTTAGAACACCTTGTCTCTGCTGTAGAAGGACAGGTAAGAATTTAGAGTTTTAGAGTGTGTTGTCCTGAAATAAAGTTCTCTAAAGGAGCATCATGCGAATGAGTGTGAAGGCAGCTACCTACTGACTGTGGCAGTCTTTCTGGGGGCAGCGGGGTGACTCTTCCTGCTCTTCTCTTGATGCCAAAGAAGAGACATGTTGGCACATCTTCTAGTCATTAATGCTGGTGGCTCAATAATTAGAGATGATGGATTGGGACTGGAAAGCTTTCTATTTGCTTCTTTTTTTCCTGCTGCCTTCTCACTGGTCCCCATGGAATTAAGTTACGCGGAGAGGCCCTGGGCATCCTGGCATCCTGTTATGTGATACATGGCCCATCCTTACTCATCACCTGCCTAACAGATGCTGGTATTGACTCCCTTTTTCCGGTAAAGACTCTGTGCTGTTGGGGATCACCAATCTCTCACCACAGGGTGTCGCTGCTGAGCTAGGCTGCCTGGTGAACAGACACCCTGGAACTGTAAAGTAGATCTGAGATTTAATTTTTTTCTCTAGACATCAATTTCACATAGTATAATTTAGTAGTTTTCCATGATACTGGTGGCACTTTGTTTTGGTTCTGTAGAGATTATTTCAGTGTCACAGTTAATAATATTCATCTTTCATTAAACATTTACTTGTACTAGGTACTATTACAGGATGGAATATGAAAGAACAAAATATACACACTGGTTATCTAAATAGTTTTACGGCTTACCAGCTGTGTTTATACAGTTTGGTGCCTACACACTCGCTCTTTATAGCCTGTAGCACAGAAGATTTACGAGGTACCTATGTAGTTCCATATTACTGCGATATGAATGAAAAAGAATAGCACGGCGATCGAAGGAGAGAAAACACCCAAAGTACAGCCGACCCTTGGCGTTTGCTAGGGGTGTGTTCTGAGACCTTCATTGACACCCAGACACCACAGTAGCATGTGGTTTCCCCTGTAAAATCCAGTCACGTATGACGTCATGGCATTTCCACACGTGACATGCCGAGAAAGCAGGGTTCTGTCTGGGTGCAGGCTCTGGGGAGGCGGGCAGGACTTCCTCTCTGACCGGGGTCTTCCCGTTTCATAGGGAATCCCAGGGGCAGGATTGAAATTCGGGCCTCAGCACATTTTGTATATGTCAAACTAAACCAATAAAACACATGAGCACCTGTATACCACCCTCATACATCCCTAGAAAAAAGACTGGAAGGAAATACAGTATGTATAGGGCTTATTTTTGGGTGGTGGGCTAAAGGGTGATTTTAATAAGCTTTCAAAACTTTCTTGGTATTTTCCAAATTTTCTATAGTGTACATGTATCATTGTTAAAACAAGCAAAACCAGTTTTTAAAAATTAAAAAGCAAATTGCTCTGTGTCAGTAGACTTGGAACACATTCTATAAACGGTCAAAGCTTGAATAAGAGGCGTGGAGTCTCATACAGATATTGATGTCTTATTTAATGTTTGACATCTATATGAATTATTTAAAAAGCATTGGCTTTGTTAGTGAGTGACTTGACGCTGCTGAATGGCTGGTGACAGCCCCGACTGTTAGGCCGAGTTGAGGCTCTCCTGTTAGTTAACATGCGTGTGTTTCGGGGCCACAGCTGCCCTTTGGCTCCCGTGGGTGGAAGGTTCTACTGGTTCGTAATCCGAGTGCCTCGCCGCTGCGTGGATGTAGCAGTTTCTTGACAGAACCCGTTGAACTGTTGTTTCTCACAGAGGACCACATGCGTGCTGACGTCAAATGGTGAGTCCTTTCAAGCAGGGACGTTCCTTCTATGAGCTACATGCTGGACCATAGAGTTTTGTGGAGCGAGATTACGGGGTGGCCACCACCCTGACTTCCTGCCACGGTGGTGATGGGAAGTTAGCAGGAGGGCAGCTCTACTGTGGGGACGTGAGTGTGTTTGTGAGTGACACCAACTTTATAGAAGAAATGGTACTTTCCCTTGCAGAACCTAAAAGTCCAGTTGAAAAACTCAGCCTCTTCTGCCCTTTTCTGGGCTCCGTTTCTATTTGTATCTCTGCCAGGGAAGTGGCAGTGAGGGGGATGGCAGCTGGGTTGGTGGACTTGCTGGGATGGGAACCGGAACACAGGACGCCTCAGCCTCCCTCCATTGCCCCAGAGCTGGCTGCCGGCAGGGCCCTGTCGACCCCTCAGTGCAGCTGCAGGAGGAGGATGGGATGGCACAACCCATCCAGAGAGCTTGGCGTGCCCCCTTAACCTGGGTTGTCCCCGCTTCGGTCTGCGGAGCTCGGGGTTCTTTCAGAAACTGCAAAGTGGGGGTTCTCTGGGGCATTCCTTGCGGCTGGCAGCGAATGACGTGGAGGCGACCCGAGACAGAAGCAGGCAGGATGTTGGCAGCTGTCCTGCCAGAGGGTATGTGGTTCCTTTGCCTGGGGGTGGGGTGGGGGCGGGGTCAAGGTGTAACTGTAATAAGAAGTGACAACTGGGTTTGTTATGAAAGCAACTGGCCCAAAGTCACCCTGCTGTGTGTGCGTAACTGTGGTAGTGGGGGCGTTATGGGATGGATCATAGCCGTTTAAAAACAAAAATCAGTATTACGTTTCATTTTGATTCAACCCCAAGTTATTTGCCATGAAACTTTTTGCTGTACCTCCTCCCATCCCCCCCCAAAAAACTCCCCAAACCCCCACCAGGTATTGCTGATAACGATGGCTCTGACA